AATCAAATGGATCATGCATTATCCAAGTGATATACTTACCATATCCAACTTGCAAGGCTCTTTAGCTCCAAGGGATGGGCTAGCTTGGTTCTAGATAGGCCCAGGATATTGTTGATGTGGTCTTGGGCAACTTGGATCGGACTCAGGGTTGAATATAGATCGGATTTTTAGTCAATTTGATTCGACTCAAAAAATATATACCCTCTAATAGAAGCTTGATCCTACTCGGTTAAAGTGATTTTATCCGATCTGAAACCTAACTTGCCTTTCGAGATAAAATCATAACTCAATCCGAATTGACACAAATATGTTTATAAAAAATTCTAACCTTTATTTGATAAAATTATGGATGGCAATAGGTCGAGTTGGGTTAAGTTTTTGATCAATCCGAGCGGACTCGAAAAATATATATCCTCTACCCGAACTTGATCCGATCTAAAAATTATATATCCTCCACCCGATTTCGACCTGACCCAAATTTTTATAGTACATATTCGACCAGTTTTGATCCGGTCTGATATAAAATAAGGACTTAATTTTAAAAAATAATAATAAATAGAGGAGATACTATAGCAATTATCCATAAATTTATTTAAAGAAATTACATTATTAACTCGGGTCGAGTCTAAGTTTTTCACCCCCATCCGAATCTGAATCGATCCGACCTCACTCTCTTAAAAAAATTGACCCTAATCAACCCGAACCCATTTTTTAAAAAAAAATCTGACCCTATCATATCGAGTTAGATCATAACCCGTCGATTTCGGGTTAAAATGACATCCCTATATAAAAATAGAGATCTAACTGGAAAAATAATATTGAGAGAGATCATTATAATTATTCTTAAATACATAAAGTATAATTGTATTATTTTATGGATTGAATATTTTTCACCTTAAAATCGAATTCAACATGATCCAAACTTATTCTATAAAAAATTGTTTCGACCCAATTTAAACCTAACTTTTTTTAAAAAAATTAACTCCATAGAATTAGTTCGAATCAAAACTCATCAAATTCATATATTATGTCCATTCCTAATCGCACTGGTCTCGACCCCGAACTCGTGGTTCATGACATGATTATATCTGTAATTAGAGAGGAAATTAGACGAAAGTTAGTGACGAGGTTCGTTTTTAAATCGAAAGTAGTATAGAGATTGAGTGTCACGAAATTAAAATACACAGGTTTAATTAGAATAGTATAAGAATTTATTAAATTATTTTAATAGTGAAAAATATTATATTTTTTAAAAAAAATTTGAATTTGAGTAGTTACATTTATAAATGTAAATGCGTGTTATCAATTAATAAGAAAGGAACAATATAATTAGAATTCATGAATATCCAGTAACATATCTATGTGTAAGCTTAAGTAGTTACGTGTTCACTTTGAAATTCGAATTTCTTTATGCTAGTTTTTTATTGTAGTCATGATATCCACCCTGAAATTTTATTTGTGTCTATCTCATATAAAAATTTATATTGTTAACATACACGTGTCTACTCTTATATTTGTGTTTATCGTGATTGGTAATCAAAGTTTTTGCATTTGTATCGTTTTTAAAAAAATGAAGAAGATTGTGAGGAGACGGAAGTTGAGGCAATTTGACAGTAGGGGTGTGGTTGTTCGTGGTTTTTCTGCGAAGGTGTTCGTTGATGATCGGACTGGGATTGTTAAATGAAGCGAGGGCAACGTTTCGCGTGGGTGAGGATTTGGGCGCTGCTTTCTCAGTTTTTGGAAGAGTATGTGACTTTAAGTTTGGAGCACTTTGTGCTCTCGGTTATAGATAGTGGATGAGTTTTTCGCGTTTAGTAGAAGGTTTGTGTAAGGGCAGAACTAGTATAGATCTAAGTCGTTGTTTTGCTATGGCCCGCGATGGATTCGAGTGTTTTGGAGTTGTTCATAGTCCCGTTCCTTTGCTGTTTGGTTGGCGTTGATAGGGTTCAGATCAATGTTTAGTAACCTTTGATAAGCATATACTCTACTATCTTTTGTCTCAGTGATTGTTGCATGATTTTGTTCTTTGTTTTTGGATGTGTGTAGTTCCTTTTCGAATTTCTTTCAGGGGTAGTGTGTAGCTACATTGATGTTGTCTTTTCGGGTTGTTCTAGTGGTGTGTTATCGACTGTTTTTCTTGTGGTTCCTTGGTTATTGTTGGACCTTCTTCCATCCCAATGTTCACTCTTTTTCCTCTACATAGAATTAAAGAAGTTTTTTAATGAGGTCCTTGAGTGGTGTACTTTGTGAATTCTAATACAAAGTAACCATTTTTCAAAAAAAAAAAAAATCAACCACCGTTACTTATCAGGTCTTTACACACTCCGTTTACGGGCCGTTCTTCGTTCAATGCCATCAATGACACCTTTCTCACATTGGTGAAAGTATATTCGTTTGTAAACTCCTTGAGGGTCAAATTTGGAATCCCAAAGGACACAGAGGTGGCCACTTGCAGCCATGAGGGGTTGGTGAAATGTTTTGAATATCACAAAGCCAAAGCCCGTAAGACATGTCATTGGCTGTTGGGATCGTCTGTCAGCCACAATTACAATGAAACAATCTCATGCTCACCCTCCCATGGGGTCCAAACGACAACATGTTGAGCCTCACGTGACCATTCCCACGTCGATATCACACCACACTATTCAAGGTTGTCCCAACTGGAACACCTACGTTTACATCTTGCACCAGCCGTCGAAGGGTAAATCAATCAAACTTATTTTTTACTATTTTTAATTTAGTCCCTATATTATATTCAATTTTCACTTTAGTATCTACTGTCTTTTTAGACTTATTTTACTACCTTTACTATCATTTCTTTCCAATTTACCCAAGAAAAAAGCAAACAACCTTTAATAAACAACGTCAACCCAATAATGCTCAGCAGCTCAAGGACGGAGCCATTAAAGAGTCGAAGGGGCTTTGCCCTATGGGTATATATTCAGTTCGGTTCGGTTCGGTTTTTTTATCAAATATTGAACTGAACCTAAATAAACGGTTTTTCAATATTTAAACTGAAACCGAAATCGATTGGTTAAAAAACCGAAAAAATCGAAATCGATTTTTTCGGTTCGGTTCGGTTTTTTAATGGTTCGGGTTTTTCGGTTCGGTTTATCGGGTTTTCAATGAAAAAATCACTTGAAACTATAAAAAAAAATTTAAAAAAATTGGCTATTCGGTTCAATATAGAACAAATTGGTTCCATATGAAAAATCCGAACCGAACCGAATCAAAAGAATAAAAACTTTAAACCGAACTAAAAACCAAACTGAACCGTTTTACTCGGTTCGTGTCGATTTTTCGATCTTCTCAGTTTCGTTGCTCAATCCTACTTTGCCCCTTCAAATTTTTTGGTATAATAATATTTTAGGCATTTTTGTTTAAACATTAATTAAATAAAATTCTCATAATTTCTAAATTTAAGTAGTAATATATTTTTATTCTTTCAATATAAAATAATTTATTTATTTTTAATTTTTGAATTTAAATATTTAATAGATTTTTATGACCATCCTAACCAAGTTTACTCTATTAATAGTCGTCAAGATTCGAACGTCTAATCTTATTTAAAAGATCTAATATCTCATCATACTAAATCATGTTATTGTTGGTCTATTTTCCATTGTTTTAAGAGTGAAAAATTTGGATCCGTCAAAATAATACAGCATGGAAAGTGCAACATAAAAAGAAAAACGTGGGGCATAGATATTAACGATGAAAACGAGCATATGACCAAAAAAGAAGATGCAATTGTCTGTGTTGTTCATTGAGATATTTTGCATTGTTTGGGCACGTGTCTCGACATGGTCAATAATGGGGGAGCTGCAACCAAATTAGCGGTGAGGAATTGAGAGAGCTGTTACATCAACTTCGATGGCAGGAATTGGGACATTTGGCAAGAGTTTTTCGAATTATTAAGTAATTTATTTTAATTCGTTAAGAATTTCAGTTAAATTCGATCGAATTATTTATTAAATTTTGATTAAATTAATCTTAAATAACTTGTAATCTATCTCTGTAGGGTCCTATTTGGTATGTCCACAGGGGGCTGAAGGCACATAAAAATCATATGAAATTGCTCTGATTTTGCCGATTTGGAAATATAAACACTGCCTGCTGCTATGGTATAAGTGCTGGTGGGGCAGAAACAATGTGGAAAAAACGAGGAAAAGAACGTTCAGGATTTTCTGGTTGCTGCATGCTTACACCTGTCCATGAATTAGGTCAGGATCCGGAATTTTAAAAAAAATTATTATATGTGGGTTTAGACTTTAGTTTGCAACATATTTGGGTTTCTAGTTTCACCGTCTGTTATGATGTCAAATTATCTGATAATGTTAAATCTACATAAAATCTATGTGGTGATGTTGGGTAAACGAGGGAACATATCTTCTTTGCATGTCCCTTCTCGGATGGTATATGGAAGGTTGTCTTGAGATTGGGCAATCTTCGGGGTGAGGGTGGGTCGTGGGTAAGGGAACTGTCTGGGGCTGTCACCTATTTAAAAGGTAGATCCTTCCTTATTTTCCTGTTGAAACTTGGTTGGAATGGCTTCATCTAGCTGGTATGGAGGGAAAGGAACTGCAGAGTTTTTAGTAATATTGCTAGTTGGCATGAAGATATTTTTGCTTCTGTTCGTGATATTGTTAGAATTAGATGCATTTATGTACTTTCTTATTACACCATTTCATCTTGAGTAACTGGAACAGTCATGAGTTGACAATTACAACAATTTGTAACTTCAAATACTGAAATGAGAAATCAAATTTCTTCAAGTGTTGTAGTGTAAAAGTAAACAATTTGGGGGGTCAAATATAATTTAACCCGCTTTTCTTGTCATAAAATTGAATGATATTTTGGTAAGAAAAGGTGAAAAAAGAATCTAACCGAGTAACCGTTGGGAGCAACCGCAGGAGTAGACAAATGAAAAATCAACACTGCCGCCTCATCTTGGAGGCGTCTTCTTCTCCCCTCTGCTCTTCCCTATAAATTCCCTCTCTTCTTTCCTGCCTAACCCAAACCAAACCCTTTCCTTTACATTCCATTCCATTCCCACATTCTCTACAATTAAAGCTCAAATCTCTTGAATTCATCTTTCAAACTCTGTTTTACCATCGAAGTTCCGGTTTTTCCAAGAAAATTCACGTTCCTCTCAGTGTTAAAACTATACAAAAATACTATGTTTTCTTCAATAAAACACTCCCCGTCTTCTTTCACCTCCACAGATTTCTTCCCCAAGAAACGTTCAATCCCCAGACCCCAATTCTCTCCGTTACCCATTATCAAGAACCTCCATGTTAACATCCCCAGCCAGTCTTTCTCTTCTCATAAACCACTCCACGTTTCCTCCATCGAGAATCTCGCGGTTTCGAATAAGACCCAACAAAGAAAAACAGAGTGTCATGCCTACGAAGCCGACAGGTCCAGGCCTCTGGACATAAACATCGATTTACCCGACGAGGAAACAAGTCTTGAAGCAGCTAAAAAGATTAAGATCGGGATTTACTTTGCTACTTGGTGGGCTTTGAATGTTGTTTTCAATATATATAACAAGAAGGTCCTCAATGCCTTTCCTTTCCCTTGGCTTACCTCTACTCTGTCTCTTGCTGCTGGCTCTTTGTTGATGCTCATATCTTGGGCCACTCGAGTTGCTGATGCTCCTAAAACCGACTTTGAATTTTGGAAGACCCTTTTCCCTGTAAGTTTGAAATTTGAAGTTGCAGAAAAGAATTTTTAGAAACATATAGAGAAATGGACAGAATTGATGTATGGATTATGTTTTTCAGGTTGCAGTGGCACATACTATTGGACATGTAGCAGCAACCGTGAGCATGTCGAAGGTTGCTGTTTCATTCACACACATCATCAAAAGTGGTGAACCGGCGTTCAGTGTTTTGGTCTCGAGATTTCTACTTGGTGAAGCGTTTCCGTTGCCGGTTTACTTGTCGCTGTTGCCGATTATTGGTGGTTGTGCGCTTTCGGCTTTCACCGAGCTCAATTTCAACATGACAGGTAAAAAGGGAAGCTTGATTAACATCAAATCTATGCCTCAAATTTCCAAATACCGAGGTTTGCAATCGTTTATTGTGTTTACATAGGTTTCATGGGGGCCATGATATCGAATTTGGCGTTCGTTTTTCGCAACATATTCTCGAAGAAAGGAATGAATGGGAAATCAGTCAGTGGGATGAACTACTATGCATGTTTATCAATGTTATCTCTGTTGATCCTTACACCTTTTGCAATAGCTGTTGAGGGTCCTCAGCTTTGGAACGTTGGCTGGCAGAAGGCAGTCTCACAAATTGGACCCAATTTTGTCTGGTAAATTGCCAATCTTTCTTTCTTTTGGCTGTTTTTAAGTGATTCAAGTAACCCTTTTTTATCTCCTTCAATGTGCTGCTTAAAATCAATTCAAGTAACCCTTTTTATCTCCTTTGCAGGTGGGTGGTAGCTCAGAGTGTGTTCTATCACTTATATAACCAGGTTTCATACATGTCTCTGGATCAAATATCTCCCTTGACATTCAGCATCGGGAACACGATGAAGAGGATTTCGGTTATCGTCTCGTCTATCATCATCTTCCACACGCCCGTTCGACCGATCAATACTCTTGGAGCTGCCATTGCAATCCTTGGAACCTTCCTTTATTCACAGGCGAAGCAGTGAGAAAGGTGCAGCGATTTCGAAGATTTTGGTGAACTGACATGAACGATGATAGAAGCTCGATGAGATGTATATTAGGAAGGAATTCATGATAGTGGAAGCTTTTTGATTTGTTGATGCTGAGAATGGACTTGGTTTTGATGCAATGCTTGTGTTTATAGTGAAATAAGACTAGTTTGTTGATGCTTGCTGTGCTTTGAGCTATGCAAATTTAATAAAATCATGAACACATTATGAAGGATACAAGCCTGCTATAAAAGAAACTGTAAATTTATACCAAATTCAAGCAATTCTCTTATCCCATGCAACATCATCTTATCCCATGCAGCCGCTGTGAATTCCTACAAAGCCAAGTACCAGGTATGTCAATGGCACTAAAAAAGCTCTAAATGCACCATTGGCTTTAATGTGGACTTGTTTACGGATCATGTCCCCTTTAATCAAGGTCTCCCTGTACCCTCGAGAGGGTCGGAAAACATAGCTTGGAGACTAAAACAGCCTCGTACGACACTTTGAGAACACAATAGCTTCCGATTATCGAGGAATGACTGAGCAACCGCGAGATCCTCCAACGTCTTCAACTTCCATAGATGTTCCAATAGCAATATTTAAAAGTGTAACTTTCAATGCAGGTTCCTAGACCCTGTTGTTTTTGGAAGATATCGTCCTGAAATGTAAAGGATATTAGGATCTATTTTATCGGAATCTTCGACAACAGAGAAGGAAATGCTAAGAAACGATCGGATTTCGTCTGAATCAAACTCTAATTCGAGTTATTATGTCCAGGATTGTGTTTGTATGTTCTCTCTGTGTGAAGTGTGAACCGGGGACAGGAACCCCAAGGACTGAAGGGTTATTGGGACAAACGTCACAGAAAAACAGCATCCTTATAGGAGAACCTGTACCTGTATGTAACCTTACTCTTCCGTCTGTTGAAATGTCACGATCGACTGACCGACCGGGTACTCCCATACCATTTTCCCACACACACACATCACTTGAGGTTTGTGTGTACAGCGCAGCCTGGGGAAATGAGAGTTCCCGGTCCTTTGGTCGGTCGGTCGTGACGTACTGGCTTAGCATCTTAAACCAGAAGCTAAATCCTTTTGCTATGCAGGCTGATGTGGACTGGTATATGTTTACCCTAGAGGAATGAAGAAGATCATAAACTACCTTAAAAGAGATCCAATAGAATCCCAATGATCATTACAGAAAATACTAGGATAACATCAAAGTGTCATTTAAAGAATTAAAGTTCAATTTCAGTGACCAAACCAGATCCACCATTGAAGATTCCTTAGAAGACATCAAACGAACCAAGGGCAGCAATCAGGTGAAAAGAAAAACAAATAAGAAACAAGCGAACATCCATTACATTGCTCTGTCATTGCTAGACAACTTCGAATGGCAATATTGGTTCACGAGTAGATTCGGACTTCACTGTGTTAGGGATCGAACTTTTAAAATTTTGGAAGAATTAAATATTAAAATATATATTTAAAAATTTTCAAAGGAAACTGCTGTCCTTCCTACTTCTCTCGATCTATCATTGCCTATAACCAGAATAGGTAAAATGACAAAGAACTCCAATGAAGTTGTCACTAAATAAAATAAGAATATCTTATCAAGCACGTATATTTTATTAATCATACATTGTATTTCCGAAATATCATATCAAGCACGTATAATTTATTAACCATGCATTATATTTCCGAGCACGAATTAAAGTGACCTTTGTAGTAAATGAATTGTTGTTATTCTTTGAAGACTGAGTTTAAGTACCATAAATACCACGGGTGTAAGCGATTAATGTCGAAAAATTGAGAGTTATCTTTGAACAAATACTACTATGTACTTACCCCAAATTATTAAAAAACAAAATACATTATATTTTTTAAATCATTTCTATATACATTGACAGTGAATAAAATATTGGATGAAACTATGCTTAGTCATGGGGGCAGTATACCCAATTCCTTTTATTAATAATATATATATATATATATATATATATATGAATCAAACGACCGCGATGGTAAAAAAATATTATTATTCCTTAAAATTCTCATGAATGTTAGGGGTGTGAGTGTTTAAAGTCAAATTGTTGATATTTTTTAACATATATTATCTTATATTTATCTCATATTAATAAAAAAATTAATTAGGCCCTTTAATTTTAATTTTAATTAATTTTAATTTTTATTATTAATTACATTTTTACCTTTTTGAATTAGTATTTTATCTCTTTAGTGTTGATATATATATTTATTTCTACAAATCCTAAATCCTTAATAAAATACGTAATTTAATATAAAAATAAGTGTCTAAATTATACTCAAAATTAACTGCCTAACAAAACTTTTCGCTAAAAATAGGTGTCTAAAGTTTTCTTCATTACACTTTTAGGCACTTATCGTTAAAAAAATCGTTAAGTGATATATGTCACGTCCAGATTTAAAAAAAAATAAAAAATATTTTTATTTTAAAAAAATAAAAAATATAAATATAACACGTTCCATTTAACGATTTTTTAAAGATAGACACCTAAAAGTATAACGAAAAAAACTTTAAACACCTATTTTTAACGAAAAATTCTTTAGACAGTAAAATATTTTTTGAGACATAATTTAAACACCTGTTTTTGTATTAAGTCTAATATTAAAATTAAAACTTGTGAAAGTATATTTTTAACTGATTAAAATTATAAAGCCATATTAAATAGGAGAAAATGTAGGTTTATTTGAGTTTCTTGAAGAAGAAACATTACTATTCATATTGTCCTTCCCGCCAAAAATAATCCTAATCTAATCTCCTTTTTTTCTATTAATTAAAAATTATACTCTTAATATTAATATACAAACGCCACCGAATAAAATATTTAAAGGATTAATACACTTTTTATGTGCCTACAGTTATATTTTTTAAAATTTTAGGTTCATATCGTTATAATTATTTTATTTTTTAGTTTTTAATAATAAAAATATTATTTTAAAAAAATAATCTTGGATTGTCCCTCTTCCTCTCATCCCCACCGTTGATAGAGAAGGGTAACCACCGATCGTGTTTTGTTCGAAGAATGAGGAATTCAACGGTGGTGGCCATGTAATGTACGGACGACTGTATCCGTCGAAAACAACAACGAAAAACCTAGAAATACAATGACATTCACGACGTTTTTCACGACGCTTGGGGGAATGAGTTTTAGTCGCGTCGATGAGACGATTCTGATGATGTCATCGATGACAGCCATGGATCGACGGTGGCCGATCGATGGCAAAAGATGTAAAATTTAGGGTTTTTTATTCTTTTAAATTATAATATTATTTTTTTAAAATTTTATGTATGTGACACGTGTCAGGTAACGGCTGTTACGGTTCATGCACCTGAAAGTATAACGCTGAAAACGTTAGACACATATTATTAACAAAATATTCTTTAGGCACCAAATTATATTTTACGGTATAATTTAGACAATACAAAATATATTAAGCTATATCTGAAAATATTAACTATTTTTATGATTAAATCAATCTAAGAGCGGATCTATCATCCAAGTCCGAAGTCCAGCTCGATACATGTACCTAGAGTTGGGTATATGGGTTAAGGCCCGCGGGCTACCCGTTTAACCCGCGACCCGTGCATGCTTCGGGCCTCAAAAATTGAAGATCGTTTAAATTGTGGGCTTTTTAGCCCGGACCGTTAAACCCGCGGGTTTAATAGGTATAACCGCGGGCTACCCGTTAAACCCGCTAAAGCCCGCTTAATTTAAAATTTATAAAATTTTAGAGAAAATAAACTTAAAGAATTTTATAGAAAAAGAAAATAAATTACCTATAAATATGATGTTACTTATAACTATTGTAGTTCTTAAATTTATTAGGGCGTTTGTTATAATTTTACCGTTGCTTGATATTTTTTTCATTTAAATATACATCATTATTATTTTGGTATTTAAAGATCTTTTTATTTAATTTTGACCTTTATTTTTTTCGTGAAGTATGTTATCCATTTTGTTCTTTAATTATAAAAAATCACGTGATATTCTAATAATATATTACATGACACGTAATATTTGGATTAAAAATAAGAAAGAAAAGTAAAAGAAAAAATTGAAAATATATTTTTCAACTTTTAAAGACTTTTACAAAATAAATATATTTTAATAAATTAATTACTTATATTTTATCAATTTTAGTATAATTGTATCTTTTAAATTTACTCTTATATTGTAAGTATTTTATTTTATATTTTCATATTATGTTTTAGTATTTCTCTAAAGTATCCATAAAATACAATTATTAGGAATACTTGACAACTTTCTTGTTAGATTTGTATAATGTTTGACTTTGTTGAATTTTTATGTTTGAATTTATGCTTTCAGACACTTATGTGTCTTCATATTATAGCCTTGAATAATCGTGTTTTATAAAAGTATAATGTGGTTATTGTTTTATTTGTTTTTCAATTTGGTGATATAAGTGAATATTGTTTTTTTTTTAATTTAAGTTTAAGTAATTATATCATTATATATATATATTAATGATTAAAATATTAAAAAATATTAATTTATAATCATTTCTGGCTATTTAAAATAAATTTAAATATTATTTATTATTTTGACGGTGTTACCTTCCTTTTCAAGTTGCTCGATCATTTTTAAAGGTGTAGTAAGTTAAAACATTATTTTTATTGCATTTAAAGTATTAAAAATTATTTTTATTAAACGGGCCGCGGATAAGCCCGTTTAGCCCGCGGGTTAAATGGACGGGCCGCAGACCTTAAAATTCAAAATCGTTTATGAATGCGGGTTTTTTAGCCCGCTCCGTTTAAGCTCGCACCGTCAAAACCCGCGGGCTAAACGGGCGGGTAGCCCGTATACCCACCTCTACCTGTACCTAAAATTTTGGATTGTTTAAAATATGAGACAAGACATGAATTCTATTAAATATATATTGTTATATAAAAAATTTGATTTTATGTAATTATACTAAAGACAAGCATAAGACCTGAATCTGATGGGTTCCGAATCGACCTGATCGGGTCAAATTTTTTTAAAATTCGGGTTCGGGTCGGGTTGAGTCAGGTTTTTTTCCCCAAATATGATGTTCGGGTCGGGTCGGATTCGAGTTTAGGGTGAAAAATACTCGATCTGTCCCCCAAAAAATATAATTTTACCTTATATATTT